AGCAACAAAGATGATTTGGGGACTGGAGGCTAAAACATATGAAGAATGGTTGCAGGAACTGGGTATGTCTAGTTTAATGAAAAGAAGGGCTAGGGGGGACAAGATAGCAGTGTTCCAATATCTCAGGGGTTGTTACAAAGAAGAGGGAGTCAAGCTATTCTCCAAAGCACCTGAAGGTAGGACAAGAAGCAATGGGCAGAAATTAATCAAGGAGAGAAGCAACCTAGAACTAAGGAGAAATTTCCTGACAGTTAGAACAATTAATCAGTGAAACAACTTGCCTCCAGAAGTTGTGAAGATATTGAATAACCATTTGTCTGAAATAGTGTAGGGTTTCCTGCCTAAGCAGGGGGTTGGACTAGAAGACCTCCAAGGTTCCTTCCAACTCTGTTATTCTGTAATCCTTCTGAAAGGCTGGTAAACCTTGTTTATGTACAAGTAGTACTCTGTTTGGTGACTTTGCCTTACTAGAAAATGTTCCTAGTTGTTATTGCATGGGTTTTCAAATAAAATCCATACCATTAAGGTCCTACTACCCTGGAAAGAAAAATAGTCCTTTGGTTTAGGACAATTTGGATAAACAAAACAGGGTGGTTTGTGGAGTAGAGGATATGGGGAAATTAGTTACCACTGCTTGCAATCAAAAGTATTTCTCATTTAGGCAACCTTCTTTGGACTTTAATACATTTCAGTGACCTCATTCATTTTTGCACAATGTAGATAAAATGACTCAATTAATAACAATAAACAACACAATAGAATATTCATTAAAATATTTGAATATTCATTAAAGCATATCTAGGGTTTTAAATGCATCTTCCTTCCAAGATGTAAATTAAAGTCAGGAGAATGCTCAAGAAAATAAAATTATATTCACTCTATTGCCTTAAAAAAATCAGTTGATGTCAGGTGGACTTCCATGTTGAAAAGGTTTGATGCAAGAAGCCTATACATTTAGTATATAAAGTAATTTATACTGCTTGCAATCTAAGTCTAACAAGTAGGAAAGTGCTTAATTTCCTAAATTGCAAGGCCCAAAACGTAAGATTATGGCCTGAGAAGGGTTTAACAATGCAAGATGATTCTTCTGAATTGTGGTGAAATGGGTAGGAGGAAGATCATGTTCAAGCTTGCTCCTGTCCCTTTTCCCTGTCAGACAAAGGACCACATGCAACCACAGGTTAGGTGAGTGCCACAGATATTTTTACATGCTTAACATGCTTTATTTCTAAGGGTCCTTTCTCAAAGTAGAGTATTATGACTTCCTGTGCTGCTGATGCACCAATGTTCTCCACCGTCACCATGTTCACAGGATCTTCTCAAGATACATCCCTAAGATCTAATTACTCCAGAGGGAGAACAAGTGACAAAAAGTGTGTCGTGGCACTGTGACACAGATTCTGCCTCTTCCATAGTTGCATGTGATGCTGTAGTACAAGTATGAAAGGATGGAACATGTGACATGATACAAAAGATGTTTTCTCACTTTGGCGTTCAGTTGTGGATGCCTCAGCCTGAGAGGAAAACAATGAGGGCATAATGGCAGATGCGACAGTGGAAGTACAATCAGAGATGCAGCTGGGTAGGAAGAGAGACATTGGCACACCAGTACTCCCCAAATCCCCAATGGAAAATTGACTTAGCAGGTGGATCATGAAGAAAATATTCCAAAGGCCTTGATAGCATTTGTTGATGTTATGGCTCTTATCCCTGCACATCCCAAGAGAGGTGTTGGGGCCCTGGGCAGTAAGCAAGGCATGAGAAATGATTGTTATGAACATTTTGGGTACATTTTCATGGCATTTCAAGGAAGGTCTTCTGAACACTCCTAGCGTGGAAGCATAAACTTCTTTAGCACTGACAGTAATAAAATGCCTGTATACCTCCAGAATAAAAGTGACCCCCCTCCCCAAAAAAAGAGCAAGTGAGAGCAAGGCAATTAGAAGACGATAATATTCCCCCAAGTAATTTTTAAAAGGATGCAGGTTGATGGTGGGAAGCAGAGGCTGCCAAAATGTTCATAGCATGTAGCATTAGCTCAGTCCTGACAATGAGTACAGTATGGCATAATTTGAGAGCTGTAAAATTATTTAAAAGATTATACCTTCTCCATATTTTCCAAAGTATACATTCAACCGTACACTGAATATCTCCTGAAGTCTTGCTTCAGAATGCGACACTACCTTTTTTCTTCCAATTACTTTGTCACTCAGAATCCCTAAGTGTAAATCTCTAGCACACATTAAAGAGAAAAATCACGCTATTATACCATTAGAGTTAAAGGAAATGAGGTGAGGAGGAGGAAGAGGAAGAGGAAGAAGGGAAACATTCTCAAAAACATATATAGGTAATATTTTATTTGTGAAAATAGTTCCATTTTATTATTTTTCTCATTACCCTAGGTAGCTTCTTTGGCCCCACAAGGCAGATACCCAGACCACAAAATATTTAGGCTTTTGTAGTTATACCAGAATTTGAGAACTTTTTTGACCAAAGATTCTCAGGACCACAGGGAGAGTGACTGGTGACGCAGTAATGTTACTATAGTGAGGAGAGCCAATCTTCCTTTGCTGGATTTTGGAGCCTGTGAAAGGAGTGCCCTTAGAGAAACAATTTGTGTTAAAATAGACTCACTAAAAAGAGCCGTAGTGGTGTAGTGGTTAGAATGAAGCAGTTTAATCCTAACCAGTTCAAGGTTGATTCCCTCAAGCGTTCCATCTTTCCGAGGTCTGTAAAATGAGGACCCAGTTTTTTGGGGGAAATATGCTGACATTTGTAAATTGCTCAGAGAGTTCTATAAAGCGCTATGAAGCAGTATATAAGTCTAGGTGCTATTGCTAAGCCCATAAAAACTTCATTTATGCTGAATGGAGTATTCTATGCTGCTCTTGGATTGGCCAGCCTTGTTTAAACTGAGTAGCCCTTTCTGACAACACTGAGATGCCTATAAAGGAAACAGCAAGGAAAAATAAGCATGTTGCCAAAATATTTGCCACCCTTCCGCCTGCTTCCCTGCTTTTAATTTTAAACAGATCAAGTCCTTGTCTCTTCCTGTATTTATATATATTAAACATTATACACACACACACTTATACACACACATATACACTCTATGAGTTTTCTTTTCCCTAGAATTGCCACAGGAGATCAAAGTGACACAGAGTGGTCACTTCTGGAACTTCTGAAGCTGCTAGTCAGAGAGTAAATGCCTCCAGATAGAAAAGTCAATTCAAAGCAGAATTGTTCAAATTACAATCTTTGAATCTAAGATCTTTGCCAAAGTGTATTGGGACACAGGGAAACAGCAGATGGGACCCTAGGGAGTCTTTTTAATAAGTTTCTTTTATTAATGGTTACATCTAGAATAGTTTATTATTTAAATTTCATGTAAAAGTTAAAGACTCTCTGGAGCTGAGGTTGTTTCCGTGTGACTATGTTTTCCTTTTCAACAGTGCAAAGTCATTTACCTCTGCATCCTCTCCCTCCCTCTCTTTCTCTCCCTCCCTCCCTCTCCCTCCCTCCCTCTCCCTCTCTCCCTCTCTCTTCCTGTCTCCCTCTCTCTCCCTCTCTCTCCAGTCCAGTCTACAATTCTCCTGTTTCCAGGTGGTTTCCCCTGCAAGTACTAACTAGTTCTGAATCAAATTGACCTTTTGGTCTCAGCAAGAATGAAAACATAGATTATAGAAAATAGATTACAAAATAAGGGTTCAGCATGTCAATACATAATTTAGATTTGGAAGTTCAACAGCAGGTTCTACTTTAGCTACTCTATAAGGAGAAAATGGATGCTACACAGAAGTCACTTGAACTAATCTTAAAATCAACATAGTTTCTTCAAAAGCGAGAGCAGTGAGAGAAATACAAAAGACTTGGGAACTAGAAGGGCAGAGAGCAAGACAAGCAAGCAGCTGAGTCGGTGGCACATTCAGGAAAAAAAGGACGATGTGCAATGCTGAGAGCTGATATCACTGCCAAAAGGTGAGAGTTGAATCTCCATTCTTTACTGAAATTAATAAAGTCTCAGCTGAATAATGGGAAATCGTATCTACATAGGGATATTTTCCACCATAAAACAGCAGAGCTGTAGAGATGAATTCCTTCCATCATTGGAATAGTTCTCATCAATGGAATGAGTTGGTGATTCCCCCTTCCATATCTTTAAAATATGCTCCTCATGACAAGGAGGAGCATATAGAAGAATGTTGCAGGGTAAGTGCAGCTACAGGCTAAAAGGATGGAAAACTCTTATCACAGTAGCACACATGTAATGTTGGATTTGCCTGCCTGCATCTGTGTGAGGGAAAAAAAGGGGTTTGAGGAAATGCTAGGAGGAATGAGCAAATCAGGAAGCAGCTGCAGAAAAAACTTGCATTGTGGCATGTCCTTCTTCAGGTTTTCAGCTGTGCAATAAAGGCTTTTTCTGGAACACCAGATTTCCTGATCCCACTTCATGTATTTATCCTCTCTTCTGATATACCACAATTCTAAGGCTTCTGAATTTGTGCCATTCTCATCAGTACAATCTGCTTCTTTATTATACTGTTGGAAGAATTTCCATGTGTTTGTGGTTATTCTTCAGGTCCAAAAGCTGCTTGTTTAAAAGCCGTGTCCCTCTCCTCTATTTAACTGTCTCTTCTTTGCCTGATTTGTGGCTCAATCAACATGTATTGTTGACCTTGATTCATGAGTGACTTCCTCAGTCTGTAGTAACTAATTGTAAAATTTGCACTTGTTGCACTAGGGCCATGGTTAAATTAACAAAAAATGCACAAAGCAAAACAATTTGGGAGTTTGCACTAGAATAACTCCAGTGCTATTCCCACCCCCAATCTCCTCCATATTTGCATGGGAGAAGCAAAGCCTTTCGTCTCAGCAGTTCAATGAAATGCATTAAAAACATGAGTATTTTATTTAATGGCTTTCGTAGATTTTTGTTGTTGTTAAAATATCTTTGATTGCAGACTATTAGCCTTAATCAATTTCTATACTGAGACCAGAGCTCATATTAGCACAATCCTATTTTAATCAATTCAGGTTTGCATTTTAAGAGTAGCTTTGAGGTTTTTGCTTGGTTTATGCATCACATTTACCTCCACGTGCCGCAGGTAATGCTCATCTGAAATTCCATAATCAGAGCATGATAGAAGAACTGTGAGTGAAAGCCTGGGTAATAGGTTTGTTTTCATTGTTGACCACCGTGGAATATCATCTCTGCCAAAAAAAAAATACCTGAATCCATTATTAAGTACTCTACATAACTGCTCCGTCATATAAAACAAGCCCAAACTACAATTTTCAATAACTACTTATCCGCAACCAAAATAATGCTATTTGACAGACGCAGCCAGTTTTATGATGAGTAAACATTAAAAAAAAAAACCTCCTTACAAGCTGATAAATATTATAGTAGGTTGTGGCAAGTTGCAGTCTCATTTTCTGATGCTGCAGTGCATGTATGCTATTCTAAGTTCAGTCCTTTTTATTTTTGCAGAAGACTCTGGCCTAAAATGTTGGAGAAATCACAGATCTATCAAGGTAGAAGCTTCCCGCTGGGAGGATGGTGGCAGTAGTAACGTAAAAGCCAAGAGATGATCACAATCACAAAATAATCAGAAAATCAGAATGATAAAACAGAGAACTCCTAAAACTACGAAGCTGTGAGTTGAAAATGTCTGGGAAGTTAAAATGAATCTTTTCACTCAGAAAATCATGTAAACGAAACACTGGCATTTTTTTTTTTTTTGCTCTGGGTTTAAATGTCTTCCACCTTTCCAGAACGTTTATTGTTTGAATGACAATTTGTAATATCCCTCTTCTTTAAAAAGTTTGGAAATCAAGCCATCTAAGGGCCCCCATAGGGGAGAGGGGCAAGAAAAAATCAAGGTGATAACTGTATGATTAAAGTTTGGCCTTTTTCTATGTGCCTGATATGTGTAACCCTTGTAAAAAGGGTCTAAGGCTTAAGTTATATGAACAGGCCCATAATCTGGACTTTTTGATTTCTGCAGATGCTCCTAAACTTCCATTTCAAAATCCTGATCTTATAGAATCACTGGTTGGCAGAACACAATAAACATATTATTGTTATGCATTTGCATGCCCAATTTTGGGGCTTTCCAAAAAATGATAACACTGTGCATTTGTCCTCATTCAGTTTAATATATGAGCATCTGAATTTGCTTTTAATATTGCTTTTTTTAAAAAACTGTCACCTGATTTGGGGCTTTAGCTTTGTCTCTCTCTCTCTCTTTTAATCCTCTTTGTTTTCTTTTAAATTAGGAGTTGCATATAAATGGCAGAAATAAACAAAACCAAAATTCAAAAGATTTTGATTAATTTTTTCCTGAATGAAATTTGCCATTCATACACTTTGTTAGAAGGTGGCCAGCGTATATGTATGTCCTGTCTTTATGTAATTATTTTTCCAGAAATGTATATTTTTCTAAATCTCCACAACTTTATTTAAAACTTAAGAGATCACATCATGAGAATTTTCCTCCCATTATTTTTTTTCCCAAGCTGGAAAGAGTGAGCAGACAGGGAAGCTTGCAAGAAATGGAAAAATACATGAAAATCTGCAGGAAAGTTCAGAAAACAACAGTGCCAATAATCTCAATGCTATTGTAGCTTCTTTCCCAGCTCTGAATAAATGCACTGATGTTGTTCTACACCAGGGGTGTCAAAGTCACATCATCATGGCAGATTCATGTGATGTATCATGACCTTTTCCCCCTTTGCTAAACCAGGTGTGGACATGGCCAGCATGTGATGAATCAGCCCTGCAGCTCACGAGTTTGACACCCTTGCCCTACACAAATTGGCCAGCTTCCAGTAATACTGAACGTGATGCCATACTGACTTTCTTTACTCTTTTGGTAGACACTGCTGGAAAAATGCATATCAGAAAATATGAATAGCATATACCACCACCGATAATCAAGCAAGCTTACAAACATTGCCGATAGAACTTTGAAAAAAGTTCTCCAGCACTTCACAATAAGCATCTTTCTCATGGGAAGAAAATGTGTGGCTGGGTGATGTGCAAAACAGGATGCTGGATTAGACTAACCATTAGATCAGTCAGTGATTCTCAAGTTCAGTGCCTTTGAGATGGGTGGACTCTAACTCACATTCTGGGAAATCAAGTATACCCATCTTAAAGGTACGGAGGTAGAGAAGAAGCACTGATTTAGATTGAACAAAGAAGAAACTATATTCTTAGGAACGAGGTATATAGAGATTGCAGGCCTCTCTGCAAAAGACCAGAAATGCAAAACTAAGCAAACAGCTGAAACTAAACAGCTCTATTCAATGAATATAAAAGAATGTGAATTGTGTTCTGTTCCCTTTATTTCAGAAGTAAGTGGCATCAATGAAGGCCTAATACAAACTGGGGGCGGGGATCAGGAAACAGGAAAATTTAAAAAATCACACCAGTACTTCCTCCAGCAGTCCATTCACTAAAATGTTTTATAGGGTTTACCTTGCCTATCATTCCCCCCATCATATTTACATTTAAATTACTTCTTCCTTAGCATTATTCACACAGTTTTGTTAGAATTTTCCCCCACATACGGGGTTGTCAAATAAATAAATAAATAAAAACCAGCCATTAGATCTGTATCTTAATTAATGGTAAGCTGTTTTAAGTAGTGAAGAAATTAATTCATTTCAAAGTCTCGTATTTTTCTTCATTTCAAAGATGTAAATACCAGAAAGAGCAGTTAGACTTTAAAGGAAAAATTTATGAATATTTCCCTCTTGGTATTTCTTTCAGAGCCTTCTAATTAAGGACAAGCGGCCAACATAGTATCATATACCAATCTGGTATTTATTAACAAAGCTTGTCGTGATTTTTAACTGATTATTGCTCAGAGAACCCTCCCCTCATTAATATAAATGAATTAGGAGGAATACAGCCAAATATTTCAAATGGGAATTAACATGAGACTGCAAGGTATAATTAGCTAAAAATACTAAATACATCAAAGTATTAATTTATATGGGTATATGTCAAATTTGTCTAGTGTGCAATAAAATATTACAGTGACATACAGAGAGATAGATATAGATATAAAGATAGAAACAGAGATGTAGGTATGATATATCATTCAGTTGGATATACAGTATATGCTTATTTTGCAGTTTTATTATTTTGCAAAAGATTGGAACTTCGGAGTTAAGATTTGAACTCAGCACTCAGCATTAGTAGACCAAGTAAGTTAGTTATTCTACTTTTAAGATACTGATCCAGCAACGTTCTGAATTTATTTCCCCCCAGATTGGAGTGCTATACAAATTAGTATTGCACCTTTTAGTGTTTTTAAATTTACAAGATAGTTAAACAATTTGCTTCCTTATTTTTAAAAAATGACTAAAAACCTTGCCCACTTGCAATAGCACCAGGTTCATTGAAGCCTGGAGGTTTTCTTCTAACAGTTCCTGAAATAAATCATTACAAATGAATTACTTATGAAGTGTGTGGTAAAACCAGAAGAGGCAGGGTTAAAATATAATGGGGCCAAAATAAATGTGAATTGAATACAATAGTGAGTGGTCAATGCTAAAACAAAAACAATTGGCAACTCCAAATCTCAACCAACAAATGCTCTGTTTTACACAAAAAAACTCAGAACACAAAATACATGCTGAGTAGACACGACCTTGTAGGTGACCCTCACTCTGTCAAGGATCTTGGAGTACTCATATCTAATGATCTAAATGCCAAAGCCCACTGTAACAACATTGCCAACAAGGCATTAAGAGTTGTAAACCTAATCTTGTGTAGCTTCTTCTCCGGTAATATCACACTACTAACCAAAGCATACAAAACATTTGCTAGACCAATTCTTGAATACAGCTCATCTGTCTGGAACCCACACTGCATATTGGACATTAATACAATTGAGTGTGTCCAGAAATATTACACAAGAAGAGTCCTCCACTCCTCTGCTCTCAACAAAATACCTCATGCCACCAGACTTGAAATTCTGGGCTTAGAAAATTTAGAACTACACCACCTTCAGTATGACCTAAGCGTAGCTCATAAAATTATCTGCTACAATGTCCTACCTGTCAATGACTACTTCAACTTCAACCACAACAATACACGAGCACACAATAGATACAAACTTAAGGTAAATCACACCAAACTTGATTGCAGAAAATATGACTTCAGCAACAGAGAGGTCAATGCCTGGAATACACTACCTGACTCTGTGGTTTCATCTCCAAACCCCCAAAATTTTAACCTAAGACTGTCTACTTTTGACTTCACCCCATTCCTAAGAGGTCTGTAAGGGGCATGCATAAGAGCACCAGCGTGCCTACCGTCCCTGTCCTAATGTTTCCTCTATTTGTATCTATTTTATGTAGCCAATCCATGCTTATACTTATTACCAAATACGTTCTTGACAAATAAAATAAATAAATAAATAAAATAAAAAGTACATTTGGGTGATTTGGAGTTATCCAGAGAATGAGGATCAAATAGCAAAACCAATGTATAAAGGAAGCATGACTTTTCCACAGCAAAGAGAAAACTGATCTAATTAGGTTTAGATGCAGTTGAAAAAAACCCACAAAACAGAAGAAATAAATAGCTTAAAGAACAAATGTAGCAAATAGCGTATAGCACAGCCATAATGTAAGTGAGGGTGGTTTGCAAAGGTAAAAAAATATGGAAAGATGTTAAATGGCATTGCTGTAAACTGTAACTAGCTATAATAACTTTTCTTATCTCATATCTTAAACCCGTTGGTTTACTGTTCCTTATTCTGGTTCTGAACTTTGTGTAACACTGCTTAACCCTAAAGAGGTAAGACTGTGTGTATCTATGCTGGATTCACTGTGCAGTCACAATGTATATCTAGATTTCATTCCAGTAAGATTTTAGAGGACTACTGTATCAGTGGTGGGTTTCAAAATTTTTTACTACTGGTTCTGTGGGTATGGCTTGGTGGGTGTGGCATGACTGTGCTAGGGATTTGAACCCCGAACTGCCGACCTTTCTGATCGACAAGCTCAGTCATTTATTAAGATAACTCTAATTCCTATGAGCTCAGGATTGCCTGATTATACTTTGAAGAGGGACTGTAGGGATAGACCAAATTAGCACAAAAATATAGCTGCATCATGCTGAAAGAAATCATATAATCCCATTATATCCAAAAGTCCTTTGCTTGCCACACAGATGTTTTCAATTATACAGT